GACAAACAAGGCCCTGGTCCCTTTTCAGCCACTTTCACTTCTGTGTTAGAAAGATATAAACTCGTTCAGTGAGATGTTATATCATATTGGTTTTGCTTCTTGATTTCAGCTTCTTTAAGCCATGTGGCCACTGGATCCTGATAGCATTGATTTTTGTAGTGCTTAAGCCATTGTTTGTGCTGCCTGACATAGGCCCCAGTTTTTCCTTGTCTGTGAAGGTTAACTTCAACTATGTTTAATCTTTCACAGCCTCAGAGTAAATACTTACAATCTCTTTGACATTGTTTGGGACCCATTTTGGTGCAGATGTGATAAGATGGAGAAGCCTGTGAATATGGAAGCTATATTCCAGGAAGAATGGGATTTTTTTTTTTTGGCCACTTCTGGGGCTTGAACTCAGGGCTTGGGCATGGTCCCTGAACTTCTTTTGCTCAAGGCTAGCACTCTACCACGTGAGCCACAGCACTGCTTCTAGCTTTTTCTGTGTATGTGGTACTGAGGAATCAAACCCAGGGCTTCATGCGTGCTAGGCAAGCACTCTACCACTAAGCCCCCTTCCCAGCTCTGGGATTGTTTTTAAACACAATGGATAGAGTCTTGGGGGAAGCAGGTGTGGCTCTGAGTTGAAACATATAATTAAGAGGAGTGATTTAACCGAGTTGGCTGGTGGAAGGTGTGCCTTTGCCTTCCTTCCTTGCTAATTCTCCAAAGCGATGGGAGCTTTTAGGATTTTCTACTGAAAGTTTTGGTGCTCACCATCTTTCAAGGCCCACCTTTATCTTTTGATGTGTATCCTTAATTAGATCTTCTAAGTCTGGTAAGGACCCTTCTTCATGCCTCCCGGTCTGGACATGTTGTGAGCAGTGAGCTGATATGCAGCTCCAGAGCCAGGAACCTTCCAAGGTTCCTCAGCCTTTAGGAGTCTGTTGGAGCTAATATAAATTGAAGGTCAGACGGCTGGGGTGTGGCTTAGTGGTAGAGCACTTGCCTCGTATGTGTGAGGCCCAGGAGTCCATCCTCAGCACCATCAAAATAAAGTGAAGACAGTTTTGATAATGTCACTAAAACTAGTTTGTTTTTTTTTTGTGGGGGGGATGATGGAGCTATGCACTTATGGCTTATGCCTATAAGCCTAGCTACCAAGGAGGCTGAGATCTGAGGATTGTGGATTGAAACCAGCCTGGGCAGGAAAAGCTAGGAGACTCTTGTCTTTAGTTAGCCAGCAAAAAGCCAGAAATAGAGATGTGGCTCAAGTGGTAGAGCACCAGCCATGAGGGGAAAAGCTAAGAAAGGGAGGGGAGAAAAATGAATCTGTAGGAAATAGCTTCTATGTGCCTATTTCTATGTTCCACCCATTTTATTTTTAGAGTTCAGTTTATCAGGAGAGATGAGGTGTCTCACTATGACTAAGTCGGTCACCATGACTTACTTGAGGGAGTACTGTTGGCACTCAGGCAGCAGTCCTCTGTGTTGGGTGGAACTAGGTCCAGGCGTGTGGGGCATTTAGCACCACACCCCTCCCATGCAGTGCCAGCAGTTCCCTGTGTCCTTGTAATTACCAGTTACTTCACTGTGATTTCCCCTTGCTTGTTGGGAAAGGCCACCTGCCTCTCACACAGGCCCTGGCTCCTGGTAAATACAAGTGAGTTGCTTTGCAGAGGGGCTGACATGTGATTCTGTCTCTGGAGACTTAGGCTCCTGTGGCAATAGATAGGACATGCCACAGCCAATTTTTATGTTTTTATTACTTAAGATTTACTTAGCTACATTTTATGCTTGTGAAATAAGTATCCTAAACTCTATGATTAGAATATAGTGACATCAATTTTTTTTAAGTTAAAAATGAGCCTATAGGGCTGGGATGGTAGCTCAGTAGTAGAGTGCTTGTCTTGCATGCATGAGGCCCTGGGTTCGATTCCTCAGCACCACATAAGCAGAAAAAGCCAGAAGTGGTGCTGTGGCTCAAGAGGTAGAGTGCTAGCTTTGAGCTAAAGAGCTGAGGGACAGCACCCAGGCCCAGAGTTTAGGCCCTACGACCAACAAAAAAAAAACAAAAACTAAAGAACATCTATTCTATGTAGTTAGTGACTTGATTTTGCACCTAAGCATGAATGTACCATATGTAATAGTAGAAAGATATAATGTATTGTATGGTTAGTCATCATAGCCCTTTTTTTGAACATGTCATTTACTGTTTATTTCTTTTATGCTGATAGTGTTGCTGGAACTCAGCCTCGTGCCCTTTCTTGGCTTTTTCTCAAGGCTCAAGTCTGGCACTCTACTACTTGAGTCCCACCTTCTGACTTTTTGCTAGTCGAGTAGCTAGGATTACAAGCGTGAGCCCCCAGAGACATCTATATTATTTTACTAAGATAAAGTTTTATGGTAAGGAAATGTAGAAAATGCTGACTACCACAAATAGTTTGAAATCTGCTTTTTCCTAACTGTTAGTACTTACATATATAGCTGACTATCAAAGAATATTAGACATTTTATCTTCTTTGAAATTAAATTTTACTGGTTGGTAGTATTTCTTAGCAAGGCTGAACTGATTATACAAGTTATTGTCCTTTAATAAAATCTCAAAATTTGGAATACTAAAGCTGCACTTGCATATACCTAGTGGTAATGTGTTCATTGGGCTTTATGTTTTAAGTAAGTTCTTGTACTTAAGTGAGAGAACAGTGAGATTTGGTTGGTTCTCTCAGTAGGTAATCACTGTCTTCTGCTGTATCAGTGGGCTGCACAGGTGAGGGTCTCTGCTTACACATTAGCATAAATGGTAAGTAAGTTACAAGTTAAGCTGAAGGGAATAAATGCTTTGGAGAAAAGCTCCGGTTGGTGAGGAGGGTCAGAGTATAAGAGGTTGGACAAGAGGACTGATTTTCAATTAGGTTGGGAATCACTCTTGATAAGGCAGTTTTAAAACAAAAATGGGTAGGAGCAGAAACAGCTTGAACCTCTCACATTATAGGTACTGTTTTTAGAGCTTGACTGCCTAGATAGCATTTCTGACCTGCAAAACCCAATGTCGACAGCTACATTATGGTTGTAGACAGTAAAATGAGGCTGTTGCCTACATGTTAATAAATGTGCAGTGTGTTTATTAACATTGACTCTGTGTGTGTGGGGGGGTAGGGGGGTGTGGGTGTGTGTTGTAACTGAGGCTTAAACTCAGGGCCAGGGCACTTTAGCTTTTATTCAAGGTTGGTGCTCTTGCACTTGAGCCCCGTTTCCATCTTTGGCTCTTTGCTGGTTAATTGGAGATAAGAATCTCCCTGCTTTATTTTCCTTAGGCTGACTTTGAACCAGAGTCCTCAGATTTCAGCTTCCTGGGTAGCTAGGTTTTTAAGTATGAGCCACCAATGCTAGATGCCATGTAATTGGGATATATGGTCTACATGATGGGAAATGCCTCCATGAGACCCCTGTTGTGTACTTAACGTATGCTAATAAACATTGTAAAAATTAATTATTATCATGGTACTTGTCTTTGTAAATGGGATTGCAAGGGATGAGTTTTTTTGGAGGTGAGGGTATCAGGGCCTTTTGCTTACTAAAGTACTCTATCACTTGAAGTATATCAGCCCTTTTTATTTTTTCAAATAGAGTCTCAATTTTTGCCTGGAGCTGGCCTGGACTCAGTTCATCTGTGTATGCTTCCTAGGTAGCTTGGATGACAGGATACATTAACGTTTTATTGATTGGAATGGAATTGTGCAGACTGGCCTTGAACTATAGCCCTCCAAATTTTAGCCTTCCAAGTAGGTAGTATTACAGGAATAATAGGCCCAGCTTTTTTTTTTTAAGCAGTGACTGATATAAAATAGCAGGATTCTACCCCCCCCCAAAAAAAAAGGGAATAGAAAAAAAACATGGAGTAAGTGGGGGCCCAAGTTCAATGGTCCATGGAGAATTTTTGGTTATTACTTCTTCGTATCTGATAACATCATGATGGTGACAGACATTCTCTGGGGATGATAATGACAGAGATGATGCTTCAGGTCCAAGACAGCTTTTGTGGAAATGCTAGAAGAACAGTGGACCAGAGTGCAGAGAACAGGTGTCTGTCCAGTCTCCAAATCCGCTAGCCCTGACTTTGGACAGTTTTTTTTTTTAGCTTCTTCTCTTTTCCAAATGACTGACTAGTTACTAGAGGATGTGCAAAGCACTTTATGTACATCATCTTGTTTAATGTTAAAAGTTGTAAAACACAAGGGGGATGAATTTCATAAGATGCCATTAAAGTCCTTTTACTAGCTCCCCTTGGAATTTCTTTCTCCTTGATTAACCAATTCAAAGACAGAGCAACACTGCTGTTTCATTTTATGATAAGCTTAAGAACTGAAGCCAGCACATAAAGTTATCTAATCTAGGTTTGTCTCAGCCTAATCTGCAGGGTAGATGAGTGCTGGGTTTACGACTTCTGGTTTTCCTTTTATTCCTGACATCTTGTAGGATGTTAGAGTGGTCAGTTCCAGTGCCATTCTGGGATGTGGGATAGCCTAGCCCTGGTTTCACTGTGATTTTACTGGAGGAAATGCTAGCTCTAGATTTGTGCTCCATTCTTTTATCTCGGAGTTGTGCTGCCAACGAGGGCCACACTAGTGAGGGATTCAGGTAATACCTTTGCTTTGAGGGAGAGTCACAGCAACTCTGTTGTCTCAGATATCCTCCCATAATAAAAGAAAGTGCAGGTGTTATGGGAAGGTGCAGAGACTTCTGTGTTTCATGACTTTGCTATTGAGTTACCTTTTGCAGATCTGTAAAGTGGACTGGTTGTTGCTGTCACTTCTCATTTTTATTTTTTTGGTGGAATGTCTTTGCATGGATTGGCCCTGACAGTCACCTGGGCCTGCCCATCTCAGCAGAGGACCAGTGTGCAGTGAGTGTTCTCCATGATCACTTTCTGACTGCCCAGAGTTTCAGGGCTGGTGTGCCACCATTCTTTTGACAGGAGATGCTGCACCTTCACCGATTGACCTTGTGTCGTTTTCTAGATGATGAACCAGGTGGAAGGGCAGCAGAAGAACCTTGTGCGTGCCATCGAGTCCCTGCCAGGCTCCGGCCCCCTCACTGCCTTGGATCAGGACCTGCTGCTCCTGAAAGCTACCTCCGCTGCCACCCTTAGCTGCCTTGGGGAGTGCCTCAGCCTGTTGCAGCAGAGCGTGCGCCAGGCAGGTCCACCCAACCACAAGCCTGGTGCCTCAGGTAGGACCCCCGTCCCTCCTGGGCTTTGTGCTTAGGATGCATGTTGCTCCGTCTGTGCATGCATGTGTCTGTCCCCCATTGCCTTCCTCCTTCCATTTTGTCTGTGTCTTTACCATCTATTCAACTACCCTTTACTCCAAGTGTGTCTGCATTGGACATATTTTGCAGATGAGAAGTATATCATATAAAAAGTGCAGCATGTATAGACTCCTTCCACTAAACTTCACACTTGTTAGCATCGCTCTGTGTGCTTCATTGCACTTATGACCTTTGCTCTCAGTCTTCTATCTTTGAGCCCATGGCTGTGCACCTTCTGGTCCAGTGTTTCCCTGGTGTGTATCACTTTAGATGAGGAACTGCATGTGACTTTCCCTCTCAGTCCTGTTGCCTTCTTCCCCCCTAGGGCCTGTAGTATAACTGTGTGAGAGAGTTTATTGGGAATGCATGGCAAAAACATTTCTAGCTCTTTATCCAACAGCCAGAGACAGAACAGGTTTCCATTTACTTTTAAGATACTAAGATTTTGAACTTGGCATTATGCTTGCGAGGCAGAGGCCCTACCACTTGGTCCATACCCTTATCCCTGTCTTCTTGTTTTAGGATCTCTGTGCTTTTGCCTAAGAGCAGGCCTCAGACTGTGATCCTCTGACCTATGCTGCTCCCATAGCTGGTAGTTCAAGTGTGAACCATCATGCTGGAGAGGGTCTTGACAATCATTTGAGTTCCATTTGAACCGGATCCTCCCATCTCTGCTTCCTGAATAGCTGGGGACCTATGCTACCATTCATGGTCTTTAGGAGCTTGTTCTCAAAACATACCTTAGTCTTTTTGGAGGAAGGCTTAATCAGTAAGCAGATAAAGAAGGCTTAGTAAAAACTAAATTCAATAATAAAGGACAAAATAGCTTGGTATTGATGAGTCATACATAAAGGTGCCTCTTCATTAAACGAGTGGGCAAGACAACCTAGGTTGTAAGAAACACAAGTGAAAGCTGGGAACCAAAAGCTCATCATGCCTGTAATCTTAGCTGCTCAGGAGGGAAGGTTCCCAAGGGTTGAAGCCAGCCCGGGCAGACAAATCCAAGAGACTGTCCAATTAACCAGAAACAAGCTGCATGTGGAAGTGTGGCTCAGCTGGTAGTCTTGAGTGGAAATGAGAGGATGAGGCTCCGAGTTCAAGCCCCAATACCAGCACACACACAAAACAATAGTTTTTATATTCCATGTTTTCCTCCAGTGCCCTTGGTACTCTGTTTCACTGAAGATTAAAAGGTGTGGTTGGCTTTTCAGAGGTGATTTGTGAGTAGTCTGGATTTCTTTCTGAAATATCTACCATTGTTTATTGGGGTCTGGTCCCACTGGTGTTGAGCCTTGGCTACATATCTGAAATCCTTACAGAGCAGATACTGCTACATCCATTTTTCAGATGGCATGCTGAAGTTCAGAGCTGCAAAGGGACTTTCCCCAAGGACCTTCCTCTAAAACACCAAGATGAGAGGCAGGACTTCTCTCTGTGACAGATACCTCTTCCTGCTGAAGTTTCTCTGTTGTACTCATAGCAGGCCACCCAGTAGGCTCTGTACTGTGAGGCAGTGTCTGGCTAGCACCATACTTCTCTCAGAACGAGTATGTATCCCTGAGTTGCTTTGACTCAAGGCTAGTGCTCTACTACTTGAGCCACAAAGCCACTTCTGGCTTTATCTGAGTAGCTTATTGGAGATAAGAGTCTTATGAACTTTCTTGTTCGGGCTGGCTTCAAACCACCATCCTCAGATCTCAGCCTCCCGAGTAGCTAGGTTTACAGCCATGAGCCACTGGTGCCTGGCTTCATTTCATTTTTCAAAATTAATTTCAGCATGTGCAAGAGAGTCCATGAGACTCATCTTCAATTATCTATCAAAAAAAGGCCACAGTCGTGGTGTGGCTCAAGTGGTCAACACCAACCTTGAGTGAAAAAGCTAAGACAGCACCTAGGATCTGAGTCTAAGCACAGTACTGGCACAAAACAAAGAAAATACATATTTTAGGCATCAGAAAAGTTGCAAGAATAATGTGGAAAGTCTGGTGGACAGTGAGGCCCATGGTACCTGTAGCTCATCAAATACCAATACATCCTGGGTGCTGGTGCCTCATGCCTGTAATCTTAGCTACTCAGGAGGCTGATACCTGAGGATTGCAGTTCGGAGCTAGCCCAGGCAGGAACCATGTGACTTATCTCCAATTAATGACCAAAAAGTTGGAAATGGAGCTGTGACTCAAGTGGTAGAGTGCTAGCCTTGAGCCAAAATAGCTCAGGGACAGTACCAATGCCTGAGTTCAAGCCCCCAGGACCAGCACAAAAGACCATGTGGATTCTTGGTTAAGGTCTCCTGAGTCTTCCTTCTTTTTTACTTTTGCCTTTTTCTAAATCACACGTAGATTTTGTTCTTGAAGTGCTTCCTGGGCTGTAGCATTTTGTTCTGTCTTCTGACTTTGGAGCCTTTGTTTAAAAATGCTTTCTCTGGTGCTCATTTGGTCTCAGAAACGTGGGACAACTAGACTGAAGTCTGAAAACACATTAGAAAAAAGCATCTACCTTTCTTCTATACATTTTGGCTCTCAGACCTGTCTCTGATCTTTAGATATATTAAGATGTTAGATGTGTAACGCTTCTGTTTATGGTGAGGTTTATAATGAAAATAAGATGTTTTAGGTTTTTGGTCAACCTTTAAACCCCTCTCTTACCATTCCTACTAAGAAGCTTGATGAGATCAATGCCTGATTGGAGGGGAACAGGGTTTCTGTTTGCCATGGCCTAGATGTGTGCCTCAGTATATGATGCTGAAGCTGTGTGCTTAGAATCTGGGCATGAGGGTTCCCAGTGTGGGGTGAACCTGACCTTTCAGGATTTGGGAGTACAGAGAACTTTGTCACTTCTGAGGTTAGTTATTTGCTTGTGTGTGTTGTTCGGTGAACAGAGGTCAGATTGAAAACAGACACCTGTAACCAGAAAGGCCTGGTGTCGTGCCAGGTAAGATCCTGGCATGCATAGCCTGTTTGGTCCACAGTGGGCTTGCAGGTGGAGGATGCTGGATTCAGAGGTATCAGTACACACACGCACGCACGCATGCACGCAACGCACGCGCGCACACACACACACACACACACGCATGTATGCACACACACACACACACACACACAGAGTCAAAGACTACTAATATTGATGGCTTTTTGGTCCCTTAAACCATGGCAGTGAGGTGAAATTTCTATCTTATTGCCTTTATGTATACTCACCAACAGTACTAATACTTACTTCATGTTCTGCAATCAGTCCCCAATACTGTGATTTTACGAAATCAACACTCTCTACCCTCAACTCCTCCTTTCTTGCCTTCCATCAGCCCTTTGCAATGGCCATTCTACTTTTTGCTGCTTTTGCTTTTATCTTTTTTCATTTTCAGGTGGATGTAGAGAATTCTCAGGTGCCATGTGTTGTCTCTGAGACTCTTTTAAATTTGTGCCAGTCCTGGGGCTTGAACTCAGCTCTCACTTGGCTTTTGCTCAAGGCTGACACTCTACCACTTGAGCTACCCTTTCACTTCTGTTCTTTTGCTGGTACATTGAAAGTTAGAATCTCTCAGATTTGACTGCTCAGGCTGGCTTTGAACCATGATCCTCAGATCTCAGCCTCCTGAGTGTAGCTAAGATTATAGGCGTGAGCCACCAGTTCTAAGCTATATCTGAGCATCTTGATAGTCTTCATTGAGTTAGCACATAGCAAGCACACACTCTCCTAGATCATATTGTAAGTTCCAGGGCTACCCAGATCATGTTCTAAGTTCTAGGGCTGGCTATACAATCAGCAGCATTGGTCCTGTTCTCTAGGCATTCTAGAGACTGAAGTATCCAGAAGCAAATGAGTAAACTGGCTGAGTGCCAGCAGTGTTACGGCCCTAGAGACAGTAGACCGTGATGGAACAGGAAGAGCTTTGGGGTTATCTTTGACAAGAGAATATTTCATCTACCCCTAGGTGTATTCATAATGTCATCTCTTTCTTATGGGAGGTGGTATAGAGGAATAGTACTTGGGGAGGAAGGAGCAGCATTGGCAAAGGCTCTAAGACTGAAATGAACTTGGCTCATTTGCAGAATAGAAAAAAAAAATAGTAGAATACATGGGGAGAGAAGGAAATGAGTCTCCCAGACTCTTAAGCACAGAAGAAAGTCAAACAGTTTAGGTTTTATTTCAGTTGTAATGAGAAGTCACTTGAGGCTTAAGCAGTAAAGTAAAAAGAAAAATTTTGTCAGGTGCTGGAGGCTCAGGCCTGTAATCTTAGCTACTCAGGAGGTTGAGACCTGAGGATCATGATTCAAAGCTAGCCCAGGTAGGAATGTTGATGAGACTCTGGTTAACTACAAAAATATAGAAGTGGAGCTATGCGCTTAAGCGGTAGCACATTACCCTTGAGCAATAAAGCTCAGTGACAGCGTCCAGGCCCTGAGTTTAATCCCTAGTACTGGTGCATGTGTGCATGCAGGAGGCTGAGATCTAAGGATCTAAGCTAAGAGACGGCTCCTAGTCCCTGAATTCAACACACACACACACACACACACACACACACACACACACACACACACACACACACACGGTGTACAAGTACATACTTGGGTTGGATAACCCTACAAAAGAAACATACATGCATACACAACCCTATTTCTGCCCTTGCTATTTTGCTCCCATCAACCAGATTCCTTTGGGTACTAAAAGTTTTTTTTTGAGTCATTCCAGTGAGAAGGCTGGTGGGCAGAACTCCTTCAAGGAGATGTTGGCAGATTTTCTCATTCACATGTGTGTGTCTCCACTTCAGCCTGTCTTTCCCTTCCTTGCTCTTAGATGGGAACAACATCTAGAAATCAGCGGACAGTAAGGCCTATTCATTCTCATAGCAGAATGGCTGTGGACTTAAGAAATCTGTGTCTCCCTACTTCTTCCCCATCAAGAAGAATAGAAAGATATTCTATAATAATATATGACCTAAATATCTTAGTATTAGAGAGAAGGTCTTCTTATTGCCCACAAGGGGTTTAGGGCAAATTTGAAAGATTCATTTGTTTACTAGATCAGTGTTGATAGTGTGTCTTGGTAGAATGGAACAATGAGGCTTCCTGACATCTGACAACAGAAGGGATGTGTTGTGATGACACAGGTGAACCATGAGGCCGTGGTTTTGACAGTTGGCATCTTAAATCATTAATCTGACTTTGGATTTTTGTTGTCAATAAGTTATCTTTTGAAGTTAAACAACAAAATCATTTTTACCTGACATTGATTTTTATCAGTGGAGAATTGTTTCTGTCCAGTGTTGGGGATAGAAACAGTCTGTGTTGTTCTGATACACTCATTCATTCATTCATTCATTTATGGCAGTAGTGGAGTTTTTAATTCAGGGCCTTAGTTAGCCCTGAGTTGGCACTGGCTTTGTGCTGGTTATTTTGGAGTTGGAGTCCTATGGATGTGAACTAGGATACTTCATATCTCAAGCCCTCCTGAGTAGGATTACAGATAGTTCTTGATTTTCTTTCCTTCGTTTGTTCATTCGTTCCTTCTTACTGTGTAGCCCAGGTTAACTTGAAACTCTCCAGCCTCTGGCCTCAGCCTGCCCTGTACTGGATTATGGGCATGAGCCACCATATCTGGATTGACAGTTCTGATCTTGAATTCAGAAATTAGCTTATAAATACATGATTAGAATCTATACTTTTAAGCCTTCCAAACAGAGCCCATCGTAACTTGAACTGGGCCATGTTATGAAGGTCTCATACAGTGAGGTGCAAATATTTCATGAGCTATAAATGTTTCATTTGGAAGATTCTGGGCATCATTCTAGGTCTTTATTTCAGAAAACATCCTGGGATGGCACGGGCCCAAGTCACACTCTGCAGAACAGCTGAAAAATGGGACTCTTGGTTCTTTGCCATCAGCCAGTGCCAACATAACCTGGGCACTTTTACCAAACTCTGCCGAAGAGGAGTCCACCTCCCAACCAGAGCCAGAGCCAGAGGTAAGATGTGTCCACTCAGCACATTCATGGCTTGTGTTTCTGCTTGTTTACAAACACAGTGATCATATTTGTAACTTGCTCATCTCTTTGTTGTAAGAGACCACCAATTATCCAATGGAAGAGTTGCCTTGGGGGACAAAATCAGTCCCCCTGTGCCTGACGCTTCTCTTGTTCTTGTGTCTGGCAGCTGCTGGGTGCGGGGAGGGTGGATTATGAGTCTACAAAAGAGGGATCTCTGATATTTATTAAAATGGGAGTCATCTTCAAGAGGAAGAGATTCCCTCAGGCCCATTACAACAATGCCGGTTGAGTCTACGGGAGCAGTTACAATATATTATGTCACCCTGAATAATGGCTTCTCCCCGTGGTTTGTGCTGTACAAGCTCCTGCCTTGTGCTCCACCCCTGCATGCCTCCGAACCAGGCCAAGTCAGAGGGGCGGGGGCTCAGGGCTCAGGCTGCAGAGGGCCACCACTCTGCCCCTGCCAAGATGGAGAACCCCTACAGGTCCAGCAGCCTCTGGACTTTCCTTACCCTGCCCCTTCCTCCCCAGTGCGCATGCACAGCTCTGATCCTCTCTAAGTCAGTCACAGTGGCAGCTGGAGGGGGTCAATTATAGTGATTCCTTTTGCTTTTACATTTCCATCCTGAATGAATTGTTTTTCTATGAATATATTCTTCTTGGACTGAGCTGAGAGAGACCCCCTTGAACTATTGGTTAGAGGTTGGTTTTAGTTTCGCTTGTGATCGTTGTAGGCTGAAAACTAGAACACTCACAGCATCTACTTTGAAAGTGGAAGTCCTGGGGTTGGTCTCTCTGTGAGGGAGCCTTGGCTGTCGGCGGACATTTCTCCCCAAGCTTCTCCTGACATTCTCTGACAGGGATTTGGTAGCACAGCCCTGAAAAGGCAGCATCTGTTTGCCTTAGAGATGTTTCATTGGGTTCTTCATGGGGCCTTATCAGGGGAAGTAACAATGGGAAGGGTGTGGAAGGCATCTGGCCTATGACTGTAGAGAGTTTTAAGCTGGGGAAAAAAATCATGCTTGTGGTTTGTAAATCACTTGCAAGGTAAGTTGATGACCTGGTGTATTGACATTTGAGGATGCGCTGCCTAACTGCTGCAAGATTGGAGGGGTGGGGGGACGGAAAATACAGTATCCTCTATTCTTCCCCCTCCAAAAAAAAAAAGAGAACATGTATGAGGTGTGGATGTCATGCTATAATAAACATAGTTGAAGCCTTGCTTTAGAGGGAAATTAATAATAGGGAGGGCCTGGTTGCTCAGATCTGTAGCCCCACTACCTGGAAGTCAAAGATCAGGAGGATTGAAGTTTGAGACCAGCAACTGAAAAAAGCATTAGGGAGACTTTATCTCGTAATCATCACTCTTGTAATGGGACACACCTGTCATCCCAGCAGTCAGCGACAGGCTGGGTCACAATCTGAGGCTGGCTCTAGGCCAAAAACATGAGACCCAACTTGAAAAATCACTAAAGCATAAAAGGATTTCAGGGATGGGGTGTGGTTCTATGGTAGAGCACCTGCCTACGAAGCACAAAACCTTGAGTTCAGACTTCAGGTCTGCCAATAAAAGAGAGTAGAGAAGAAGAAAGTTAAATGTAATCAGTTTTCAGATCCTCATTTCCAATAGCATGCTCAAGCAAAATCTAACAGAGCTCATGGCCTGGTTGATTTACTTGTCCAGGCTGGTGATGTTCCTTAGCTGTGAGTCCTTCCTAGTGTTGCTTCTGACTTTACCTGAGATGGATATCTTCTGACTCCTGAAGGTTGAGAGTCAGGCCACTGTTTATACATACAGTTGCTATGTGCTCTGCCCCATGTCAGAGACGTCGTCAGGAGACAGCATATAATTCATAAGAAATAGCTCCTAAATTCAACTTCTAAGAAATAACCCGAAGAAGAGCTTTTTATATTACCTTGAGGACAGTCATTGGTGTCTTACTTATATCTTTGTCCTTAATCATATTGTCAGCCAGTACATAGGAGATATTGTCCAATGTGATTTCTCAAGGCAGTGAGAAGAGGGTAAGCTAGTATATTGATGGTTTTCTGAAAAGGAAGGATTAGAGTTCTTTGTGTTTTCCAGTGACAACTCTTATGCCTTGTTAGTCTTTCTTCTGAGGCCATTGTTTATTTTTTGTTTGCTTTTTGTCTTGTTGAAAATGCTATCAAAATCCTCTAATTAGTTTTCCTATCAGGAAAAAGGAAATGTTGCCATGGTCTCCCTGGTATGTAATCTGGAGGTAAAGATGCTAACATTTAGACTTTCCTCAGGAACAGATCTTTACTGCTTTTACTTACATCTACAAGAGTTATATTGTTGTCTTCTAGTGGTTCAGCAGCTGTGGCTGAAGCGGTTGAGTGCCAACCTTGAGCTAAATAAGCTAAGGAACAACATCCAGGCCCTAAATTCAAGCCCCATGACTGGCATATACACATACAAAAGAATTCTAGTTATCACGATACTTACACTAAATGAACTTAATTTTTTTTGCTGCTTTGTCTTTTTGATTATCTTTTAGGTTACAAAAGGTACTTCCTTGTCCTGTTTTTAGCTTGCTACAAAATAATTATCTAGGAAACAAACACATTTTCAAGCATAGTCTCCTTAATTCTCAGAAGCAGAAAAGCTCAAAAAATAACTCAAAGGAGGTCAACTCTGTTATCAAATGTGATGAACTGAGCATTTTATTCTGCTGGGGCTTGAGCTAACTAAATGTGAAATCCCAATATTTTTCCATAATGAAATTAGTTAAGATCTTAGTTTCATTTATCAATAGAACAACTTTTCAGTTCCATAATACCATTTCAGATTTAAATTTAGACTGAAAAAGGCCATTAAGCAATCTTTTCTTTATAGAAGAATATCTTGTTTATACTAAGAAGGATAGACTCTATGGCTAGCTCTTTTGAGTTGGACTCTACTTTCTTTGGTTTTCAAGGAACTCAAACTTGCAAGGCAGATATTCTACTTTTCAGCCATGTCTTCAGCCCTCTCTGCCTTTTGTGCCAATACTAGTGCTTAAACTGAGGGTCTGGGTGTTGTCCCTTACTTTTTCATTCAAGACTTGTGTTCTGTCACTTGAGCCATACCTCTAGTTCTGCATTTTGCTAATGATTAATTAGAGATAAGAGTCTTGAAGACTTTCCTGTCCCAGATGGCTTTGATCCTGGATCCTCAGGTGACAGTTTCCTGAGTAGCTAAGATTGCTTGAGCCTCCTCTTTTCTTTTCTTTTTTTTTTGGCTTCCCATTATAGATGGGACAACAGGTATACATCATCACACCCAGATTCTTTCTCTTTTGAGTTGGAGTTCTATGGACTTTTCTGCCCTTGTGGCAGTCCCAGGTATTGGTCAAGAAGGACTCTCATAAACATTTTTATGGCTGGGTTGGCCTTGAATCAAGATCCTCCCAGTCTCAGCCTCCCAGTGTCTAAAATTAGAGGGATGAGCCACCGATATAAGCTTCTGGGGGTTTTGTGTGATTGTTTTTATGCTGGAGATTGACCCCAGGGTCTTGAGTATTTTAAGCTGAGTTCTACCTCCAGGACTTGGTTGGAGAGAAGACTTAACACTCCATGTCTGAGGGCTTCCTCACAGCTGGCTTTCTCCCACTTAACAGCGAGGTGAAACTCCTTTAAGAGGTTGAGGTCCTGGCACACAAAGTCCTGGGGACCTAAGTGTTCAGAGGAGGTGATGGTCAGTCTTGCTCCCACTGTAGGCCTTAGTGAATCTGTCCAGATATGGAAAAGCAGGGCAGTAGCAGTAGTTTCCTGACCTGTGGGTCACAGCTCCTTTCAGCGGCTTCCCATGGATTAAGAGACCTCTGACATTTGTGCCTCCATCCTTTCCATAATTCCATAAGCACCAGATTTCCAGGCCGATTTTAATTCTGGCTGCCATCCCTGAGTGGTTTCTGTTTTTACCCTGTATCACCGCTGGTTGGGCTGTTGGCACAGGAGGGCACAGCGGGGCCTCAGCCTGGATGGCAGCTCTCAGGTGACATGCTTATCACCTTTCTGAAGGGCGCATCTCAGGGACACAACCATTTATGTTTTTGGAAGGGGGCGGGGGATGCCGGTCCTGTGCTTGAATGCCTACACTGTCCCTAACCATTTTTTTGCTTAAGGTTAGTACTCTACCACTTGAGCCACAGCTCCATTTCTGGCTTTTTGCTGGTTAATTGGAGATTTTCTTGCCTACCTGGCTTCAGTTTTCATCTCTCAGTCTTCTGAGTAGCTAGGATTACAGGCATGAACCACTTGTGCCCCGCCATTAATGTTTTAAAAAGTCATGTTTATTGAGGGATAGAGAGTGTAATTTAATCTTTTAAAATACAACTTTGGCCAGCTAGCTACTTGGGCAGGAGAGATTTGAGGCCAACCAGATTAAGACTCCATCATAATCATGGCTTGTCACCGGAGCATTGCCATCCCTAGGGATGTGGGGATGCACAAGTAGGGGGATCTCAGCCCAGTCTAGCCAGAGCCTAAAGTGAGATTCTACCTCAAAAACAATCAGTGCACAAAAGGCCTGGAGGCATAGCCCAGATGGTAGAGTCCCGGCTTGGTAAGCATGAGGCCCTGAATCCAATCCCCAGTATCACCAAAAATAAAATTAAACCTTATACGTTTTTAAATTTACCTTTAGAGTTGTAAGCAGAGATTGCAATTCAATACCATTTATCAGTTTTAAATCACAGTATAGAATAGTTTAACTGTCCTTCCTAATTCTCTTGTGTCTCTTTACCCTAGCCCTGGTCAGTTGTCCTTAGGTAGTGCTGTAGTGTTTTAAACCAGGCTTCCTCTGCTAGCATATTATATTTGAGATTCACACACATTGCTATGAGGCAAGCCTACTACTTGAGTCTCTACCTCTGGCATTTTGATGGTCGATTACTTAAAAAAAAAAATTGAGTCGTACAATTTCTTAACCAAAGTCCACCTGGCTGACTTATTTGCTGATGCAGGGCTCTGTA